GTTGATGTATATGGGAACATTAAAGCGCTCGACGATGTGACTTGAGGCCGGAATGTTGAAAGGCTGGGGACTGAAAGTGAAATGAAAGCTGAAATTATTGACACGATGGATTCAGGATGAGATTTTGCCCAAGGCTGGATTAATTCTACTATGATCATGATCATCAATGAAAGTTTCACGAATGATGAAAAACTTATGAAGTAGACCGTGCAGGTAAAGAAAAAACAGTAATTACCACAAGAATGCTGGGTTGTGAACAAAACTTTCGCCCCAGGCGGGACTAGAACCGCACCTCTCGCTTTCCGGGCAAAAAACAACAGGGCAACCCAGCATTCTTGTGGAACATTCGCAAGGCGAACTGCGGCCCAAAACAGCAGTTAACAAACAAAAACACTGTAATTACCGTTTGCTGAGGGAGGCGTTCGCTCAATTGAAGGACTATTGATTCCTGAATGGACTCTCAATTCAGATATTTGAGATGTCGATGTACCGCTTGTAGCAACTGGCAAGGTACCACCTGTGCTTGTTTGCTGCGATGAAGGAGATGAACGCGCAACCGAGGGGTTCACTCGAAGCTGCTGCAAAACGTTTTGTTCAAATGAGAAGAGCAGAATCGTTTTTCCCTCCCATCACTCTTGTTTTCATTATTGAAAGTGTATCAACGCAAATTTTTCTCAGACCGAGCAGTGCAGTGAGGGCATACTTAATATGCCCGCTACGCTTACCTATCTTCTATGCGGCTGGTCATTGAATAAGGTATTTACCAAAGGGATCACCTGAAGAGGGCGCGTCAAGTTTCAGGTGGGGGGTTTGGGTGTGGGTGTGGTTCACTAGGACAGAAAGCTTTTCGCACGCGAAACTTTTTCGTTACGGTAATCTCAGGTCCACCGCTGATCATGGGTGGACCTGGGCTTCTTGCAACGAAAAAAAGTTCAGCGTGTGAGAAGCGGAAAATTCGCTTTCTGTACTAGTGAACCATATCTGGGGGTGTGAAATCAAAATGTACGGAGTGCAAAACTTAGCGAAACAATGATCATGTCAAACGAACATGTCCCGCAACAAATAAGTCCAGGTAGAACTTTAATAAGACAGAAGAAGCTTCTGCCAGCCCATCGCTCTAAAATGACAAATATTCGAAGAGGGCTCAAGGAATCGCTATTGTGATAAACTGGAGCAAAAGAGGAACAAGATAACACATCATCTTGTGCTCCTGCGTAGCTGTAAGAACAACATATAATCGGGATTATGCTGCAAATGTGAGCATAAGTAATAAATTCGCCAGTAAACGACGTGTAAGGAATCTGTCCTATTGGGGCGGGATTAGGAGAAGACGGATTCAGCCAGCCTTCCAGTGATCCTAGGCCCCCTAACTATAGATATCGTCCTGGTACAGCCAGCCTTCGGTGGTGGCTGTACCTGGACGATATCTATGGATGATCACTGGCTCGTTGGAAAGCTCCTTCGTATGGATTGGCTACATGTACGTTTCTTCTTATCGAACGGGATATCATTATCTTGAAAGTAAACAAAGTAGAGCTAATCACGAGCTTATCCACACTTTTCATTAGTCGACCGATGATCTATGATGCCACATGGTCACTAGAAGAATCTTCCAATGGAAATCCAAAAATAATAGATAAAAGCCCAAAGAAAACTTGGAAGTTCCCCTAGTCTTCAAAAGTGTGTCGCAAGTTTGCCATGATCGGTTGCTGCCTCCGACTTCAGGCGAAGAATTCTTTGGTTTTTGTCACGACTCCCTTTTAGGCAAGGTGAAAAACAACAACGGAGTCGCTCTGAACTCCCTTCCATCTTTTTGAAGAAAGTTGAACAAAACACAGACAAAAATAAGATGAACCGCAAAAAACACCAACTTGTGAAAAATGTGCATTTCCACAAGGAAAGCTGTTCATGCGCTTGTAGAAACCCCATCTTTGTTATGATCACCCTACCTTGCCTGAGTTAGGATCAGAGGTCGGAAGAGACTTGAACAGTAAATTCAGGCTGAAACCTTCCACATTCACGAGATATAGGGCTGACGAAAACACTCAGACTCAGTCAAAAGCGAATAAAGAGAATGATTTCGAAAAATTAGTGGGAAGAGATCTCGACTTACTTCTCTCGAATTGCCCGCGTTGTGAGCACCGCCTCCTTGGGGCTGCACCATGAGTGGAATGATAGCCGAGTCGCGTAGAGGAATAATCGTGTCCTCCCTTGAGCGACCACCGCAACACTAAAACAAAAAACAAATTCATATTTTGAAGCGTTTTTCAAATTATGCAGTCGTGAACAAAATGTGGTGGCCTGATTCAGCTCATTGGCAAGCGCCTGACATGGGCACGGAATATAATATAAGCAATATATTGATATCAATCTTTCACAATTTATGGTGTTTCAATTCTTTCCGTCAACAAGAGGAGGAGATAGAAAACTATCTTTTCCGAAACCTCGAACAACTATAAGAGCCAAGTTCTTTACTGTTCGAAGTGGATTTGCATATCTCAGACTAACTAAAAGTGACTCTTTCGGAAGTGGTTCTATGAGTTCATTCAAACGTGCTGCAGCTAAAGTTACACTTACGGCGTAGATATTACTTACAGTGTTTTCATTTTCTCATCCGGTTCTATTGTAATAAATTTTGTAGTCTATTTTACCATTTTACACGACTGTCTTATACAGCGTAATTTAAAGGAATAAATAAATACTATAAGAAACAATTCGGCCCTTATGTCGCTGGATGGAAGCGGAGGAGACATTTCAGAGTGTGGGGTCGCTTAGGACTTTTTCGACTAGGCGGATTTTTCGGATGAGTGGACCTGGGATTCTCACAGTGCGAATGTATGGCGCTGCAACAAGCGAAAAATCGCCTTCTTGGTCCTACGACCCACCCCGACTTCGAGAAATAAGGTGCAGGGAGGGAAGGGATTCTGGAAGAGAGTGCAATGTGTTCTCCCTGGCGTTTCTTTCCTCTGCTGGACTCAGTCCTAGTGTGACCCAACATCGGCTCTGTTTCGAACATCCCAACATCCCCCACCACCCACCTAAGGCCATGAACGCCAGCAATCAAATTTGCGAAAAAAATCGCGCTTGTTTTGGAAGCGATCGGGAAGCACGTAAAACGCGCAAAGTTTTTAACTCAAACATTCTGTATTGAAATCAAAAATACTGTGAGATGTATCAGAGTCAGAGGATTTTTTTTTTTCGAAAATTATTCAAAGCCGGCGGGTCCACGCGGCTCCACGCGAAATCGCAGGCGCCAAGTGTGACGCAGGGTCACTTACTGTTCCAAAATATTCAAACTCCATACTATGGAGGATAGGACAATCAGTAGGGGCTTCGCATGAAATTTGCTGAAGTAAGTAATGGGCGCTAACAAAGTTTGGGGCGTGTGGGGAAGAGGGGTTGGAGTCGCCTTCGCGGAAGAGCGGCATTTTCATAACGTTTGCACTATGTAGAGCAAAGCGGGGAATCCGAGAGTCGGGGGTGATATAGGCACCTCCAGGGAGAGTGCGTAAGGTGACCCACTTGACATACGTGAAAGCTGGAATGTTAGTTTACACCATCTTGGTGAGAGACAAGCTGCGCGCCCTGCGGCGACCGCCTCCCCTTCCCCTTTCCCTCGACTAAGTTGGCAGCATGAAAAGCTACAAAAATGGGACTTACGAAGAATTTGCGTATTTTCTTCCTCAGGAGTAAAGGACGCTGTGATTCGCTGAAGTGATTATTAGTGCGACTGTAGGCCTCATCTTCTCTGTCCAGCTGGTCGATCACGTATAGAATCTGGCAAGCGTAACAATTACTGTGTGACAGTTGCCCTGCCCCTGACAATGTTTGATGGAAGTGAGTAGACGAGAGGACACAACAAAATGTGTAACGTACCAGATTCTTTTTCTGCCATATGCGGAAATCATGCACATAAAATAACACAGTGAAGAGTATCCAAAAACAGAACACTAGGAGATGGAGCGAAAAAAGCAGAGCACGAGAACCAGAGTAATCTCTAACAGATCAATTGTTGAGATTTCGGTCAGACCAAGGCCAAAACGAGCTCTGGTAGAACCTGGGGCGGTATTCAATCCTTCCCCCAGGGGGATATATCCCCCTACTCTGATTCAATCCTCTGGGGGACAAAAAAGGGTTGCGTCATAGGACCTAGCATACCTCTGTGTTTCTACCTGCCAGACAGTTAGAGCAGCGCTACTACCCTCCACTGATGAAGCACTCTTTCCCACCCTCCACTGATGAAGCACTCTTTCCCCTGAGGGGTCGCGCTGCTCTAACTGTCTGGCAGGTAGAAACACAGAGGTATGCGAGGTCCTATGACGCAACCCTTTTTTGTCCCCCAGAGGATTGAATCAGAGTAGGGGGATATATCCCCCTGGGGGAAGGATTGAATACCGCCCCTGGGTTGCTTAAATCGCACACCCGAAAACTGCGGGACGGAGTTTTTTTTGGCAAGCTGTCACAGTTTGTATTAGTTCGTCGCGGGACCATGCTGCATGCTATCCCTTCAAATCATTGAGTTTTGCGCTTCTTCAGGCTGCAAATTGAGGATGGAGATATGGTTCTGACCGTTAAGTCTTAGCAGTAGAGTCAAAATCGTTTGAGTAGTGGAGTCCAATGTCAACTTGTAAGAGTCCGGCTAGGGCCATTTGCAACTGTTGAACTGGCTGTGTACAGACACTTAATTTTCGAAAGTTTTAGGAGCTGTGGTATTCTTTTTTAATGTGACTCGTTACATATGTTGGGGTATGATTAAGAATGATTGCGAACGACTCGGAGCTTTTTTCTAGATAACCAAAACTAAATGGAATTGTAGTACGCTCAATCCGAATGAATGACTCCGCTGATCAGCGTCGACGACGATTTATGGAAAGAAGGATATTTGTTCTGAAAGGGTTGCTTCTGTTCTACATAGCAAATCGGTTTGCCGAGTATGTGATTACGTAGCATGACGATCATCTTGTACGAATAGTCATGAATTCGACCCTGTTACCCAACAAGGAGCCAAAATCTGTACCTCTGCCATAGGTGCAAACTCTTTGCAACAGGTCAAACATGCCTCTCTTAGGCCAGATGTCATAGTTTGCGAATCGAGCCGAATCGCTGGATCCGAGCGTTGCGCCAGCGAATCGAACTTTGCGCCAGCGAGTCGAACTATGGTACCAGCGACTCAATAGTGGCGGACCCAAACGTTCAAGGAAGCCCGCCACTTTCAAACAGTGTCCACTGTCAAGTCCCGCCACTTTCAAACAGCGTCCACTGTCACGTGACACTGTTTGAAAGTGGCGGGCTTCCTTTGAAACGTTGGGTCCCGCCACTATTGAGTTTCGCTGGTACATCGTTCTCTGGCGCAAGGTTCAATCCACTGTTCAGTTCACGGAGTTCACGGAGAGGGTGATTTGCGTCACACCACGCCACCGTTACCCGTGAAGTACATCCTGGAAAAATGGAAGACGCGATAGATTGAGCTATGATGAAGTCAGTACTGATAAGGAAGAAAAGATCGAGCAAATCTGGGCGAATCGTCGAAGTCTCATGAAGGAGCCTATGAAGACTGACGATTCAGTGAAGCGAATCAATTTGAACAAGCTGCGGGAATAAAATCACCATAAATTCCATCTTCAGCGTCATGGACATAATTGAAGACACGGAACGAAGAGATGGATGCTCCCAGTCAAAAAATGCAAGCTCGTCATAAAGAAAATTCGAAAACAGCGTGACTTCACAATTGATGGTTCTGGAGAGATCTAAGAAAAGTTCTCTGTAAAATGGGAACCCCCATGGTTCTTGGGTCAAAGCCGAGGTGTACGGTAACAGAACTCTCCGTCCCAAACTTCAACTGCAGTACTGGGAAGTGCGAAAGAAGGGGATTTGCGGGGAGGGGGAAAAAAAAAAAAAAACTCTTACTGGAGAAGGAACGCTGCCGTGGACGCCAACAACGACCATGACAACTATCGCCGGCGGGAGTGTGCGGAAACATCTCGCACCAAAAGCGCGGCAGGCCGATCTCATATGCACTAATATGTAAATGCTTATAGTATAGAGTGCATCTAGTTGCGTGACTCACTGCGCTGAGTTACGATTTCCCCACTGTAACATGTTATTATGACTTCTATGGATCTCTCAGATTAGAGATCCTCGGAAGCAAAAGCATGATGTTTCTAAGATTCACCGTACATGTATAATGTTTACATGTACATGTTATACACTAGCGATTTTTTCTCATTTCGGGATATTTATTGCGCATAATTACTAGCTTATAGACGGTTGAGTCCTATATTACCTGTTCTCCTTCACTCGTCTAATCTAACTTGCGGTTAGCTCTTTAGTCAACTGCAGAGTTGCAGAGCCCTGGACCGCTGTGGCGACTTCTGGAAAAGAGGCCACCTCCGAGGCTATTGCTCACGGCTGTCAAGAAGCCGACCACTATGCAGAAGACGGGAAGGATTCAGTCGGCCGTGGAGCAAATTGATCATTCAAAATCACAGGGATTTGTTCCCATACATGTTCTTTGAGTTTCTAAGATGTTTTATGACTTCTATCAATGGATTCTTTTTTATTCTTGGGTAGTAAAAAATTCGGCCAGGGATGAAAGTTTGACTCCAAGCCTAGAGAGGAAGGAGCGCCGGGGTAACTAAACAGGTCTGCCAGTGCGAGAAAGGGTTTCCACATTTTTCGAGGGAATTGCAGGCATTCCGAAGCTCCACATCCGTTGGGCTTGGGCAACAATCCTCATCCTTCTGGCTTGCCGAGTGTTGAAAAGTGTGCCTGGAGATAGCCTTCGGACGGTTGATGTCCAGCCTGTTCTGTTCCGGTGGTTCAGTGGAATTTCTTTCTCCTCCTCTCGTCAACCCGCTTGTGGATTGTCTGCCGAAGTACCGCTTCTTATGGAGTGAGGCTCAGCTCCAAGTGCAGTCGATCGGGATGTCGTCTTGCCCAATTGTTCCAGGGCCGACTGAATCCTTCCCGTCTTCTGCATAGTGGCCGGCTTCTTGACAGCCGTGAGCATAGCCTCGGAGATGGGCTTCTTCCAGAAGTCGCCACAGCGGTCCAGGGCTCCACAACTCTGCAGTTGACTAAAGAGCTAACCGGCAAGTTAGGTTAGACGAGTTACATATTAGTGCATATGAGATCGGCCTGCGCGGCTTTTGGTGCGAGATGTTTCCGCACACTCCCGCCGGCGATAGTTGTCGTGGTCGTTGTTGGCGTCCACGGCAGCGTTCCTTCTCCAGTAAGAGTTTTCGCATCCTCTTCTTCCACTTTTCCCAGGTACTTGCAGTTGAAGTTTGGGACGGAGAGTTCTGTTACCGTACACCTCGGCTTTGACCCAAGAACCATGCGGGTTCCCATTTTACAGAGAACTTTTCTTAGATCTCTCCAGAACCATCAATTGTGAAGTCACGCTGTTTTCGAATTTTCTTTAATGACGAGCTTGCATTTTTTTGACTGGGAGCATCCATCTCTTCGTTCCGTGTCTTCAATTATGTCCATGACGCTGAAGATGGAATTTATGGTGATTTTATTCCCGCAGCTTGTTCAAATTGATTCGCTTCACTGAATCGTCAGTCTTCATAGGCTCCTTCATGAGACTTCGACGATTCGCCCAGATTTGCTCGATCTTTTCTTCCTTATCAGTACTGACTTCATCATAGCTCAATCATCGCGTCTTCCATTTTTCCAAGATGTACGTCACCCTCTCCGTGTGGAAGATTCTGTATCTGTTTCGATATTCTTCCGCCAAATTGGCTTCCTTTGCATGGGCCTTTATGTGAGAGTGTAATGTAGATGGAAGTTGTGAACTTCCTTTTTTGTCAAATACTTTGACTTTGACTACTCTGTGCCGATTTTCTATCACTTCCGGTAGATTCAAACGAAGTTTCGACGTTTTGACAATCGGTAGTTGTAGTTCTTCCACAAGATTTTTGTCGATGAACGATGCTTCCGCTCCCGTATCCAGCAAGATTTTGACTTCTTTAAGCCATTTTTGCCCAGAATAGTTCGTGGTTCCTGTTAAGAGTAGGACTGCTGCTCTGCTGGGCTTCCAGTGGAGTTCTTTCCCACTCTCTCGTTGTTGGAAGCCATTTCTGTGTCGAATCCTTGGTCGACGATCGCATTCTGGTTAATTGTAGGGGTGCTTTTCGTCGTTCTCTTTGACGCGACACTACACTGTGATGGTGCGTGTTTTTACTGAAGCACAGGATGAGGTGAGTCGTTGCGTTTTCACTTTTTGTAGCAATTCGGTTTGATGTTTTGACTTCTGCTTTGCAATTCTGCGGGCTACCTGCCTCTCTTCGTCATCACAAATGCACTGGAAGGACCCTTCGAAAGACGGTGATTCGGCGTACTGCCCGGTTTCTTCCAGCAACTTGAGTGCGACATTGAGCTTTTCAACGACATCATTGGCACTAATTCCTTCTTCACTTGACTTCCTCTTGCGTTCGGTTCGGTTCTCGTGTTCGTCGTTCAACCTCCCACAGTGGAGATGCCACTTGTGAAAAAGTCTGCAATTGTGACCCGTTCGGCTTGTGGAGAAACATTGTTGAACCGGTATCCTCGGAGACGCAAATGTCGCAAGTATGGAACTAGTAAAACTTGAGGCAAGACATATGTTTTTTTACTGCTATCGATCATCTAGCGGTTTTGTGGTTGATCTTAGTTTCCAGTCAGGACTGTTGTATATTAATCATGCACAGTGTATTCTTAGCATATGCGCAAACTTTTGATTTTGAAAGTTTTCTGCTGGCAATTTTTAGGATAGCAGGGTTTTAGCGACAAGATACGCTTCATAAGCGACCACACGGAATCCTAATGTGCATGTAGGCCGATGTCATAGTTCCGCGAAGCCAAGCGATTCGCTAGCGAACTCTGCTCGATTTTGACTTACTGCTAAGACTGAGTCAGAACCATATCTTCACTGCTAAGGACTGGTGCAGAACCAATATCTCCATCCTCATTTGCCCAGCCTGAAGAAGCGCAAAAACTCAATGATTTGAAGGGTAGCATCCAGCATTGCGATCCTGCGACGAACTAATCATGGCAGCATGCCAAAAAACTCGTCCGATTTTTACAGGGTGTTAAGGTTTTAGCAACCAGTCCACACAGGCTCTACAGAAGTCGTTTTGACTAGGTTGACCGAAATCTCAACATTGATGCTTTAGAGATTCTCGGTCTCGGTCTCATGGCTTTTTTCCTCATCTTAGTGTTCTGTTTTTGGATACTCTTCACTGTGTTATTTTATGTGCATGATTTCCACATATGGCAGAGAAAGAATCTGGTACGTTACACATTTTGTTGTGTCTCCTCGTCTACTCACTTCCATCAAACATTGTCAGTTCAATGGGCGGGGCAACTGTCACACAGTAATTGTTACGCTTGCCAGATTCTATACGTGATCGACCAGCTGGACAGAGAAGATGAGGCCTACAGTCGCACTAATAATCACTTCAGCGAATCACAGCGTCCTTTACTCCTGAGGAAGAAAATACGCAAATTCTTCGTAAGTCCATTTTTTGTAGCTTTTCATGCTGCCAACTTAGTCGAGGGAAAGGGGAAGGGGAGGCGGTCGCCGCAGGGCGCGCAGCTTGTCTCTCACCAAGATGGTGTAAACTAACACATTCCAGCTTTCACGCATGTCAAGTGGGTCACTCATGTCAAGTGGGTCACCCTCGCACTCTCCCCCACCCTGGAAGCGGGGGTGAGGTGCCTATATCACCCCCGACTCTCGGATTCCCCGCTTTGCTCTACATAGTGCAAACGTTATGAAAATGCCGCTCTTCGCGAAGGTGACTCCACCCCCTCTTCCCCCCCCCAAACTTTGTTAGCACCGTTGTTTCATGAAATTCATGCGATGCCCCTACTTATTGTCCTACCCCATAGTATGGATTTAATATTTTGAAGTAAGTGACACTGCTTCACACGTTGGCGCAATGCGATTTTCGCGTGTGGTGCCGTGGGACCGCGCCGCTTTGAATATTTTCGAAAAATACGTCATGACTCTGATACATCTCCACCAGTGATTTTTGAATTTCAATACAAGAACTGTTGAGTTGAAACTTTGCGCGTTTTACGTGCTTCCCGATCGCTTCCAAAATAAGCGCAATTTTTTTCTCAAATGATTGCTGGCGTTCATGGCCTTAGGTGATGGTGGGGGGGGGGGGGGGGGATGTTCGAAACAGAGCCGATGTTGGGTCACACTAGGACTGAGTCCAGCAAGGGGAAGAAACGCCAGGGAGAACACATTGCACTCTCTTCCAGAATCCCTATCTCCGAACTATATTCTGAAGCGTCCGGGTGTGTGGTGTAAGGAAGAAGCGATTTTTTCGTCGTAGGCAGCGCATACTTTCATCTGTGAAATCCAGCTTCCAATCATGAATAGGGCGTTGACCGGAAGATTCACGTAGAAAAACCCGCTGAGCGAAAAAAGTCGCTGTCTGTGCGCGAAAGCCTATACTCTGAATGTCTCCTCCCCCCAACGACATGAGGGCGAATTGTTTATAATTATGATATCTATAATACTATAAAGATTGCTATATTAATATTCGTTGTCACCGTAGGCTTGCAATGACTGAAATCAGGCCACCATTTTGTTCACGACTGCATAATTTGGAAACGCTTCAAAAGATGAAGTTTTTTGTTTTAGTGTTGCGGTGGTCGCTCAAGGGAGGACACGATTATTCCTCTACGCGACTCGGCTATCATTCCACTCATGGTGCAGCCCCAAGGAGGCGGTGCTCACAACGCGGGCAATTCGCGTGGAGAAGTAAGTCGAGATCTCTTCCCACTAAATTTTTCGAAATCATTCTTTTATTCGCTTTTTGACTGGGTCTACGTGTTTTCGTCAGCCCTATATCTCGTGAATGTGGAAGGTTTCAGCCGAATTTACTGTTCAAGTCTCTTCCGACCTCTGATCCTAACTCAGGCAAGGAAGGGTGATCATAACGAAGATGGGTTCTACAAGCGCATGACAGCTTTCCTTGTGGAAATGCACATTTTCACAAGTTGGTGTTTTTTGCGGGTTCATCTTATTTTTGTCTGTGTTTGTTCATCTTTCTTCAAAAAGATGGAGATGGAGTTCAGAGAAGACTCGTTGTTTTTTTCACCTGCCAAAAGGGAGTCGTGCACAAACAAAATTCGCCTAAGTCGGAGAGCAACCGATCATGGCAACTTGGACACAATTTCTATTATTTTGTGGATTTCCATTGCAAAGATTCTTCTAGTTGCCATGTGGCGTCATAGATCATCGGTCGACTAATGAAAAGTGTGGATAAGCTCGTGATTAGCTCTACTTTGTTTACTTTCCAAGATAATGATATCCCGTTCGATAAGAAGAAACGACATAGTAGTCCAATCTACGATAGGAGCTTTCACAGAGCCAAGTGATATCATTCCATAGATATCGTCCAGGTACAGCCACCACGAAGGCGTGCTGTACCAGGCAAATATCTATAGCTAGGGGGCTAGCATCACTCGGAGCTGGCCTGTTAATCTGCTCCATCCCGCCCCAAGAGGAAGATTCCTTACACGGTTGACTGGCGAATTTAATTACTTATGCCTCACATTTAGGACCAGCATAATCCCGATTTATATGTTGCCTTACAAGCTAAGCCAGGAGCCAGAGATGTGGTTGTGGTTGTGACTTGTTCCTCTGTTTGTCAGTTTATCACAATAGCGATTCTTGGCCTTCGAAAATTGTCATTTTAGAGCGATAGGCTGGCAGAAGCTTCTTCTGTCTTTTTAAAGTTCTACCTGAGCTGTTTTGTTGCGGGACATGTTCGTTTGGCATGATCTTTGTTTCGCTAAGTTTTGCACTCCGTACATTTTGATTTCACACCCAGTGATGTGTGCACTAATACAGAACGAATTTCCGCACTTTTCACACGCTGAACTTTCTTTTCGCTGCAACAAGCCCAGGTTCACCCATGATCAGCGGTGGACCTGAGATTACCGTAACAAAAAAGTTTCGCGTGCGAAAAGCTTTCTGTCCTAGTGAACCACACCTCCCCAAACCCCCATCTGAAACTTGACGCGCCCTTTCGAGGTTCCTTGTGTAATACCGATTTGAATGACAGCCGCATAGACAGTTATTACACCTAGCGGTCATATAAGTGGTTGCCCTCAAGCTGGCCATTGCTCGGGTCTGAGAAAATTTGCGTTGGTAACTTTCAATCATAAACAAGAGTGATGGGAGGGAAAAACGATTCTGCTCTTCTCATTTGAACAAAACGTTTTGCAGCAGCTTCGAGTGAATCCCTCGGTTGCGCGTTCATCTCCTTCATCGCAGCAAACAAGCACAGGTGGTACCTTGCCAGTTGCTACAAGCGGTACATCGACATCTCAAATATCTGAATTGAGAGTCCATTCAGGAATCAATAGTCCTTCAATTGAGCGAACGCCTCCCTCAGCAAACGGTAATTACAGTGTTTTTGTTTGTTAACTGCTGTTTTGGCCGCAGTTCGCCTTGCGAATGTTTCACAAGAATGCTGGGTTGCCCTGTTGTTTTTGCCCGGAAAGCGAGAGGTGCGGGTTCTAGTCCCGCCTGGGGCGAAAGTTTTGTTCACAACCCAGCATTCTTGTGGTAATTACAGTTTTTTCTTTACCTGCACGGTCTACTTCATAAGTTTTTCATCATTCGTGAAACTTTCATTGATGATCATGATCATAGTAGAATTAATCCAGCCTTGGGGCAAAATCTCATCCTGAATCCATCGTGTCAATAATTTCAGCTTTCATTTCACTTTCAGTCCCCAGCCTTTCAACATTCCGGCCTCAAGTCACATCGTCGAGCGCTTTAATGTTCCCATATACATCAACGCCTCGTTTACTTCTGCCAATGTCGGCAATAGAACGATCGTCGAATGGTCGTCTCGGTTTGCGCTTTTCTGCAGAATTCGTTTAACTTTCTTACATCCTGCTATTCATAGTACTCATTTTAGATGTTGGAAGTCCAGTTATAGATGTCGATTCAGCCACTGGCACCTCATCTGACGGGGATTGCTTTCAGCCCTTAGAGTTATCTGGGACTGCGGCGAGTTAGATTTTGTTTGTTATTCTGCCCAGTTTCTGATGGATGTCACGAAGATAAATTGCGATGTCTTTTAACTGTAAGCATTTATCAATGGCGTATGTGTAAAGTGAGTGTACAGCGGTAATGCGCCACAAATGAGCGGACAGGCTGTTCTTTCAATTGTCAATTGAAGGCAGCGATCACGATTATCCGGTTTCGAGTAGTCCTTGAGCGCCCTTAAAACTGAAGACATTATGAGGACTTGTTATGGCCTCTCGTAGTGCTCCATAAACTTTGTCGAAAGGCGTGGAACAACAGGCTCAACAACGCCATACCGTACCGTGTCTCCAGTGGTGGGCGTGCTCGAGATTTCGGAACCGGATTGCTGTGATCGCTGTCTTTAACAAATGAAATTTAAGCTGATCGCTGTTCGGCCACCGCAATATAATACTTTGCGGTCGTCCTGCAGTTTGTCTTGCATTTTGCAGTTCGACTGTGGATTAGATACGTACCGACCATGCGATTCTGCGCCTCAAGCCGCTCTCCGTATTGCCATCTTCTGCGGCTGACCTTGGTCTATGATTACGAGCACACAAATCTCTCTCAACTCAAGGGATTTTTTAAGCCAGCAATCGCCGATGTTCGCGCTCTTGCATGTTTGTAGCACCTTTGGTATACATAGAACTCTTGCAGTCACTTTATGACAAGTTTTTTGCTATACTGAAAGCAAAGCACTTTATAACATCAGTCAATGATGACAAACCCCAACATTCTGTGCTTCAGAGAGTTTGGCTTGGGTCGCGAAACCCACCATTTCTAGCCATTTTTAAAACTTGTTATCTAGTTTCCATTAACTTGAGAGGGCTCACTAATCTTTCTTCACCAAAGACTTCGTTCCTAATATTCGACTCTCAGGTCCACTGAACATCTCTCATCCTACCTAATATCAAACTTATGGGCGCTGTTGCTAGTTCGAAAACTACATTCATAATCCACGAATTGAATCCTTAACAAAATCACTTCCAGCCGGGCTCATCAGGCCTTTCATCGCGCGATTCGCGCGACGGATCGTGGACTCTGACACCTGCCCTACAGTTAATGCCCCTATGATTCTATCCATAAGTGAGTTGATCGCGTGGTCCCACGAAAAGAATTAACCGAAACCATTGCTTTGGTTCTCGATTGTCCACCCACTTGAAGCGGCGCTGAAGTGAAGCACTTGACAAATAGTTACGAACAGTACATGAGGTAGAACCTGCACAATGCCACCTAGCACTGATAGGTTAACGATGCTGACAGTGTTGTAAAGTAACGATTCAGGTCGTCGCCTACGAGAAAACCAGTCCTCAATTTGAAACGTCATTGTGAGTTGGTCGCCACGATAATATGCACAGAAATGTTCATGGTTTTCCTCAACAGTACCAGTCGTCTGTCAACACAGCGTCTCTTTGCTCAACCCTCCTTTGACATTGCGGTCAGGAATTATTCTCCACGAAAAATTTATCCGATCCCAATTTCCTGCTTGGTGCTTATTTCGCAACGCTTCGTGATCGCCTTAATTTCGACCAACACTCTTTCAATGTGCATATAAATAGCTATTACGTAAGAGGCAGTACCTCGGACGCTCATAACCTTCATTGATACTCTTATCTGTGATATGCTCCTATCGACGTCATGTTTCCTAATATGAGATACTTCCACTCCATTTTGCCTATGGAATTTATGACTTCCCTTGACTCCTTCAAAGGCTTAAGTTTTGAAATGCTAATTTAAATTATTCTCCTTCTGAAGATTACCGTTTGTTCAGTGCTGTGATCCTTTCTTAAAAATGATTTTTAACTTATTATTGTAATATTATTCCGCTTTTTTACGTCTAGCGCATGCATCCAGAACGTTTATGTTTGTTTTCCATGTATCATCATTCTCCTCCATCACGCGCTCTGTGTCATTCTCGACTATCTATCATTCAAACAGCGGACCTTCTATTGCAATTTTGCCATTTTTGCCTGCTTGCATGTTTGATCTCGTCAACAGTCTTTAACATTTACCTGTAAAATATTTTCACTTATTAGTTCGTCTTGGTGGGAGCAGTTACACTCTATATATCTTTACATTGGCCAACTCTGAAGGATATTCCAGCTCAAATATAATCGTCGCTCTCTTGGTGTTCAGAATGTCTGGAGAGGAAGGAGGGCCTTCGTCCAATATCAGCACAGATCAAGCGAAGGAAAGTGTAGAGGTGATTTGAAAGTTTACGTTCTTCTTTTTGGTATGAGAATGGTGACGTTGAAAAGTGGTAACTTTGAAGAATGAAAGTTCAACAGAAGCGAAATCGATATTAACTTTGTTTTTTCTCTAGGTAGATGGAAATAATCCCTCAAGTTTTGTGTTGTGCCAAGATTTTGCATTCCTAAGAATGGTGCGTACCATATGCTTTGTACTGGCTGCCTAGGCAGGCATCGGTTTATCAAGCGCGAACTTATGTATAGAATTTAGCACTGTTGCGATCTCAATGTCCCGTTGCAGTTCAAGTTGATGCCAGATTTTAGGCCATGATTAGTCATGTAGGTATCCCTACCAAAAATGGTGTGGTTGACCCTTTCGCGTTCTGGTTCCGCTTGCTTTGAACTGGGGACCTTTGCTTCAATATTAGTGTGATGTGGGAAGACCTTATCCTTTAGCTGCAGATAACTGCGAATAAACTTCTAAAACGATTCGTGCGGTTCGTTGCCAGCTGCTGTATGTTACAAAGTTCTTCACAGGTCTGACTGAACAAACATTCATCAAGTGGTCTGTATTCAGCGTTCATGTCCTATCTTTGCTCTGTAGTTGCTGTTGAGATTTCTTTTCATTTTTTTCCCTCCAGTAGAGTGCTCTATTGAATTGGAGTGGGTACAGAAATTTTCTTTTTGGAATACGGTTGAATATTGGACCCTGTTCAAGTTGTGTCCTTGAAAATGCGAGCAAAACATACCATAGCATTTATACTTAGTTATTCGCGAGTAACCTGCACCTAATAGTTTGAAGGTTTCCGCAGTATCATTGAAATTCCAAGGACAAACCTCGTTAAGTAACAGTCCTACTTTGACGAGTATCTGCGGTAGAAGCTGAGAACAAATCTTTCTTGACATCCTTTCCCAAGTTTCCTTGGGAACTGTCACCAGCCATCAATTTGCATGCAAATCAACAAGTTCGTCCCCTACTAGTTGAGAGGCGAGTGTGGTGTCACCACAAATCTCTGTGACCCTTCTGTGAGCAAAAAATTGATTTGCAAATGCTAGGAGTGATCTTTACAGTTCTAGAGTGATAAAAGGGAGCTCCCTGTTTGATAGTTTCTCGGTTTCTCCTCCTTGGTGATGCGTATCGCGACACCCACGATACAGCAGTTTTCCGTTGTAGAAAGCTGCAAAATCATGAGTTGATAGGAAGTTCTGCACGAATGATTGAATTTTGATCCGATGACCTTGCAAAGGCTTTTGAGGTTTTGATGGCTGAAATCGCCAGGTGATGTTTTGCTGAACCGAAGGACAAAGGGGACTTCATATATAATAGGTTTCGTTATAACCATAGTAAATCATAATGTACTCTATTTTCTAAGTGAACTTTTCCTTTGTATTTTTCATTGTATGTGATACGTGAATATTATTGACACTAACGTTTCAGAAACCAAGGGAAATGGTTTCATTACTCGGGTCATCTAGCTCTTCTACGCTTCGCTCAAGCAGATCTCACCCAAACCTAGAGCGCAGCCCTAAGTGTATGCTTTGTCAAGAGGCGATCATGCTTCCACAGGAAAGGTTCAAGCCATGTGCATGTGAAGCTGTGTGAGTCACAAAACGTTACTGTTTCTCAAGGATCATTGAACAAACACAGTTGGATGTTTAACAAAAGTGAAGTGGAAACGCGGAAGAACGAGGAGAATAATTTGAAACAAGATGACTTTATTCCAGGCAAGTTCACACCTTCTGTGCCCTTAATGATGAAAAGTGGTTGTCCCGAAAATGTATCTCCTGTGGCGAAAATCTACGACAACCACCGGTAATGGATTAACTCTTCTGGCAACATTTCATTTCCTACATGGTGGAAGTCGGTTTCAGAAGATTCGTTCCGCTCTTTCTTCTTCTAACGTACTCATCAACAAGAACTCCAGAACGAAATGCTACATCTGTGGAGTATCGTCCCCTAATTCGAGGTCGGGCTTGCGATCGGATTTAGCAATGATACGGCCCTGTTTTTGCGAGTAAGTGTTTATTTGCTACTACAAGATTTTTTATTGACTAAACTACTTCCTAGAAGTTAGGCTCTTGTAACCATTCATTCTTTTCGAAGTTCCAGTGTGGAACTAAAAGAGGCAATAATGATCCATACAGATAACTCAAAGCGAATG